CCATGCAGCTTTATAACCCTTTGTTTCTCTTACAAATGAAAGATAGATTAATGGGCATCTAAATGCACTATTTCTCAAATCGGTACACTCTGCAGTTTTGCTGCTACAGTCTAGGTTAGTCTGTTATGACCACTAGCATATGGTGGCCAATGTTAGCTAACATTAAAAGTAAATAATAATTACGAGACGCTACTGAGGCAATTTGCTGTCTTTGACTCTTCTCTGTCTCTGCTACTATTACATTAACTTAGCATTGTGGCGAAATACTAACCAATAATTTGAGTATTTTGTACAATTAGCTCACAGTTGTAGCCACACACTCACAGTGGACACTGTTGAGCAAAAGTTTCAAAGTGCTGCTTTAAATATGGGACCATTTTATGTATGACAGAAGCAAAATGACAGAATATTGTTTTCAGAATGAATATCACTGATGTTGCAATGATTTAAAGAAGATAATTCATTAAAATAATCCACTAACCATCTACAATAAATCTTTTTAGGTATCTACACTTAACTCTCATTATTATAATTATGGTTGGCAGCAGCTCAGTCCATAGGGACTTGGCTTGGGAACAGGAGGGTGACTGATTCGGGTCCCTGTCCGGACCAGGTATGGAGTGTGGACTGGTCGCTGGAGAGATGCCAGTTCCCCTCCCGGGCACTGCCGAGGTGCCCTCGAGCAAGGCACTGAACCCCCAGCTGCCTGGGGCGCCTGTCCATGGGTGGGCCCCTCACTATGAAATCTGTCTATTTGGTGCATGTGTGTATATGACAACAGAGTGAAAAGGTTGAATTTCCTCTCTGGGATTAATAAAGTATATATAATGTCTTCTTCTTCTACATCTTCTTCTGCTTGTTTCAGGTACGGTGGCAATGCCAAGGTGGTCCATTTCCTGGGGAAGACCAAGCCATGGAGTTACACATTTGACCCCAAATCCAAACAGATGGCAGGAAGTGTACATGAGGCCACAGGACATCCCACCTTCCTCGTGGACTGGTGGATCGTGTTCTCCAGTGCTGTGGTGCCCATGCTGCAGGAGCAGTATGGAGACCGGCCTTTCTACTCCGGATGTGTGGAGGTGAACAGTTTGGTTAATTTGGTGTTTCTCCACATGACTTTATGGCATTTAGTCATATTACCTGAGAGCTGTCAAATATACAAGCCAATGAAAAGTCACAGCCGCCTTAGGATTTCCAAAGTTTGACCAAACCAACTTTTTACAACTTTGTTAACCACGGACACACTGACCAAGATTTCTTCATTGTCCAGCTGTGTAAAACAAAAATTGTTGATTGTGGTACTGTGTGTTTGTAAACAGATTATACCATGTTCATGTAAGCACATGTACGTTGCTGTCACATACTGTTTCATCTTTCACTGTTTTTATTTTGCGCTTTTTCTGGATGATATACCTCTTTTCTGTCTTCCTATTCGTCTGATAAAGTTCCGGTACAGTGACACGGTCACTTTTGAAAGTGAACAGGTATGGTGAAAATGATGGGGGTTTTAGTAGCTTAATAGTCAATAACAGTTTGCTGGCAAATGGTTTAATGCTACTGCTACTCCTACTTTATCGCGTGTGTTTGCCTTTGGCATTAATTTGGAAAGGCTACGTATGGCGAGTCCAGTGCTTTTTAAAAAAGCAATGAGCGCAAAGGATGTGTTCTGTGTTGTCCGTCCGTCTTGTCATTGATTTCATCTTCTGTTCTCCTGCTCTTTGTTTGACTATTTTATCTTCTTTCTCAGGGTTCAAGCAGCTCTTCATTTGCACAAGAACTTGAGCCACAGGTGTCCTCAGAGGAACGGAAGCAGAAATGGGAGCAGGGGCAGGCAGACTACATGGGAATGGACTCATTTGACAATATCAAGAGAAAGCTTGATACCTTTCTCAAGTAAAGAAGCGATGAAGGAGGATATCAAAAGAGCACCTGAGTTTAACAAACCGTCACCACAGGTCTTTCATGAAAATACTGTAAAACAGCTTGCATTTGTCACTTCCTAGCTGTTTCTCAACTTCAAATGAGTTGAGCTGCTCCTTCCACCAGCACTACCCTCTCCATACTCCAAAGACAGCGCCGATTTAAATGGGAAATGAAAAGTTAAATATATTCTGAGCGGCGTTAATTGTCTATGCAAGACTGTCATTATTCAGTTTACCCTGCCACAGGTGTCTGATCTGTTACACTGTGAAGAGAATCAGTCAAGAAAAATTTATAATGAAATGAATTCACTCTGAAGAGTATTTGGAATAAAAAATTTTTTTGCAATACTCTATTTTTTCATGCTGTTTTTGTGAAACGGATATGGCAACAAGAGTTGAACTGGGTCTTTTGTATCTTTGTGTCTAAGATAAGCAGTCACTTACATGAACATTCTTCACTTTTCCTTTTTTTATTTTTACTACGCAGTCACCTAGCAATCTGCTGAGCATTAAAACCGCTTCTCTCAGTTTATCTCTTGCTTTTGAATTGAAACTGTTTAACATAGACCTAAAAACCTGTTTACAGCACCTCTAACGGCCATAGTATGGCCATATAGCCATACATATATACACTAGATCTATAGTGCCTTAGTGTCTTGCTCTCTCTATTGCCATCATCCTGTACCTGTTGCTGACTTGCAGCTTTTCTGTAGGACTTTAGATTTTTAACTTTCTTGTTTTACTTGACCAGAATGTTGGCTGTACCACGAATACCTTCATCTGGAAATAATAAAGACGTCATTAAAAGTTTGGATCCTGTTTAGGTGTTATTTTTTGGTCTCAGTGAAACTGATAACACTTGTTTTTTCATGTGTTTGTGTGTGTAAAAAAAGAATAGTTTCTAATGATTTTATAGGCATATATTCAGCCCATTTGCTGTACATACAAAACCAGTTTGGACACTTTGAGCTGCACTCTCAACAGAAAGTATCGGTGCATAATTGGGCATACTGTAAGTGATGTCACTCAGTCTGTCAGGTGGGAAATATCTATTAAAATGTATTACTTTAAATGTTTTTTTAAATGAAGGCAGCTCATTCTATGAAATGGTTTGTGTAGTTTATGTATATACCATGAAACTTCAATTAAAAGCCTAGTCTCTTTTACTAGCCCGGTGTGGCTACACATTTTGACAAATAAAGGCCTGTATCCAGTAGACGCCTGGGGCCTCATCTATAAACATAATGTATGCACAAAATGAGGGCTGAAAGAGCCACACGTCACTTCCCATGCAAACATTGTGATCTGTAAAAACAGACTTGATGGGAGAAACTTTGACCCGTGCTTACAAATATTTCGGAGAAGGGAAATGAGCGACGCAGATGGTGAGGTGGAAGCCTGATTGTGGAATTTGTCCAGTATTTTTTGGCACATGGCATTTTTGGCTTTTGTCCATAAGCACATTTTTTGTGTGAATCCTACGCATTGTTTTATAAATGAGACACCTGGGGCCGTATTCACAAAGCTTCCTAGTGCTGAGAGTCGTTCCTTGAGATGAAATTCTAAGAAAATTTTTAGAATTGTGATGTTTTCGTAGAATTTCCCCTTAAAGTTAAGACTAGAAATGCCAGAAATAAAGTAATCACAATACTAAGATACTTGGAAAAAATTGAGAAATGCAACAGTGCAGCAGTGATGACTTGGGTCTGTCAAATCCTTCCAGCAGCAGTGATCACACTAACAAAACACTTTCACAGTCAGCGGGTCATCTCATTTCCACTGGGTGTCCACACCTTGCAGGCTCACAAAAGGGCGTGTCTCTGACAACCAGTCACATCTGTTAAAAGCAAACATCACACCTCGCAACAGGGGTCAACCACACCTCCTCACTAAGATAAAAGTTTCTGTCCCTGCATTGCTCAGAGTTGCTCTGAGAACTTTCTTACATCACTCCTAAGTTAGGACTCCTTAGTTAAAGTTTTTAGGCTAAGTTAGGAGCTCTCTGAGAGGATTCTCAGAATGTGTGTGAATACGGCCCCTGATCTGGTTGCATTTTAATCCTGCCATACATTACACAGACAAATTTTTTCAAGTTTTTATTATACAAAATCAATAATGAATACATAAGTGACATTAATCAGTCAAAAAAAGAAAAAAAAAAGGGACAGTATACATATTTAAAGCCAGGGGGCATTATTCACCCATGCAAGTACACTGAAGGAAGTGAACTAATTTATTGTCTCATTGTTATTTTTAGAGGAGAAAATAGTTTCATGTATTGTTTAGTTTCATTTTCAAACAATATATAAGGGTTTATTGATTGATTATTGGTTGATTTATTGCCATTACATTTATTAAATCCAAATGAAACATTCCAGAATATAGTGAAATCAGAGCCTGTATTATCAATAATAAATCAGCTTTTTATTAAGTGCCAAAACAGATGAAGATATGTTTCTGGGAGTAATACATCACAGAATAAACAATTAATTGTCCATTTATTGGCTTGGTAATATCTGTAAATAACTAAAATAATTTTAAAGGAGATGTCCCTTATTTTTTAGGCATGTTAATAAATACTTACACTGTAATTTCCAAATATTTTATTTATATTATTTATATTAAGGTCTTTTGTAAAGCTGTTCCATAGGGGACAGAGACAGCATTACTCTGAAATAAACTGTGTATACCTCTGCTGTTATTTTTGGTAGACAAAAAGCATATCTGACCCACAGGAGTCATCATCTTTAAAAGGGATTGCATTCATGACTACAGAATATTCCTTTGGAGTTACAGGTAAACCAAACTTAGAGAGGAATTCTGAGTCTGAGTCACTGCCTCACCAAGATCATTTCATTTGTGAACAGTTTCTTATAAAAAAAAAGTGATTTGTTTAATACAATATGTTCCTGTTATTCCAAATAAAATATTTCTGAGGGGAGATGTCATGTAAATGATGGAAACTGGACATTTTTAGGGGGCAGAGCAGCTCAAAAAAGTTTGTGAGAGGTTGTCAAAACAAGGGACGTCGTTGCGTGGTGACGCCATCACGCAATGAGACCCCAACGTCACTTCGCAACTTGTAGCAACAGATCGACCTTCCTGCAGCAACTTCCTCTGAATATTATTTGGTAACACTGTTCCTCGTCTGGAAAGCAACACTCTGTTCTGTCAAGATGGCCCCGCTCCCTGTGCTCCGGGTGGCGCTCCTGGTGTCATTCTCTGTGTTCCTCACGGTGGTGCTGGGCTTCGGGCTGCCTGCTCTCCTGAATGTAGCGATGAGGATGTTGGGATTACCAGAGACCAGTGTGACCGAGTGCATAGTTGTGCTCTATTTACTTTTTGTGGTGTATGTGGCGACGCCTCGCATTCCCAGGGGCTGTGTGGAGGTAAGGTTACAGTATGGACTCCTGTTTACTGCACGAAAAGTATTAATGTCCTACATATAGGCAATAGTATATTAATTAATTAGGCATTTTACTGGGATGCAGTTTATCATAGCATCAGTTTAATATGGCACGTCGACACCAGAAGTGAAAAATTAATGAAAGCCTCGCAACTGTAAAACCTCAGTTTGACATTAAAAAGTCATACCATGGTACTCTCATTATAACAATCATGATACAGTATGCCATTAAAAAAGTCAAAGTCATGTATAGTATGGCATGAAGATAAATGCCGTGATGAATATCATATATCATAAGGAGTAGGACATAGTATGCCATAAAATGTCATAGGGCAAGTATGGCATAAAAATAGTTAATATAGTGTCATAACAAATACCAAAAAGTGATATTGTAGAATGCCATAAGAAAAAAATATAGTATGTCAAACAAAATAAAAAACAAAAAAAAAAACAACAACTAAACAGTTAGGGCATAAGTATGGCATAAAAATATTGGTAAAATAAATTAAATTTAATAAAATATTATATAGCAAAGTATAACGGAAAAGTCATAGTACAGTATGGCAATAAAATGTCACAATATGGCATAAATGCAGTATAGTATAGTATAGTATAGTATGGCATAAAAGTGCCATAGTGTAGTATGCCAATAAGGGAAATATAGCATAATATGCAATAAAACATTCCATATATTAAGTAATGAAACCTGCCAAGAAAATATGTACAGTATGTACTGCCATAAAAAAATGCATAATTTATTATTTCAATATAAATGTGAAAAATGTCAAAGTGTAGTGTGCTAAAAATGTCACAGTGTACTAGTATGTGATAAGTCATAGTATAGTATGCCTAAAGAAAATTAATAATATAATATACCATAAAATGTAATACTATGTCTGAAAAAAGGAAAATAAACATAATACTAATAAGAAGAATAAGAATAGAGTTTGCCATTAAAATGTCATAACATGTCATAACATTGTAAAATATGTCAAAAAAAAGTCAAAAAAGGTCATAGTATAATATGCATAAAAAGTGTCATGAAAATTGCGTAGTATGCCAATAAAAATAATTCATCTTAAACTATGCCATGAACACATCATAAATGGTATGTCACAAAAAAATTACTATAGTATGCCATAAGAATGTCATAGTATAGTATGTCATGCAACTGTGAAAAAATGTCATCGTATAGTATCCCATAAAAATTTGAAAGAATATAATAGCATACTAAATGTCAAAGTATAGCATATCATACGAATGCAAAAAAATGTCATAGTATATAGTATGACATAAAAATGTGAAAAAATGTCATTGTATGGTATGCCATAAAAATGTGAAAAAAAATGTCATAGTAAAGGATGCCGTGAAAATGTCAGCACAGTATGTCATAAAATGTGAAAAAATGTCATAGTAGAATATGTCGTCAAAAATCGTGAAAAAACATCATAGTAAAGTATGTTGTCAAATATCATGAAAAAAACGTCATAGTATAGTATGTCATCAAAAATCATGAAAAAAATGTCATAGTATAGGATGTCGTCAAAAATCAAAAAAATGTCATAGTGTAGCATGTCGTCAAAAATCATAAAAAACGTCATAGTATAGCATGTCGTCAAAAATCATGAACAAAAATGTCAAGGTATAGCATGTCTTCCAAAATCATGCAAAAATGTCATAGTATACCATGTCGTCAAAAATCATGAAAACGCTTCAAAAAACTACAAAAAAAGTCATAATAAAGCATGCTGTCAAAAATCATGAAAAAAATGTCATAGTATAGTATGTCGACAGAATTCATGAAAAAACGTCATAGTATAACACGTTGTCCAAAATCATGAAAAAACGTCATAGTATAGCATGTCGTCCAAAATCGTGAAAAAATGTCATAGTATAGCATGTCTTCCAAAATCATGAAAAAACGTCATCGTATAGCATATCATCAGAAACTGAAAATAAACGTCATAGTATAGTGTGTCGTCAAAAATCATGAAAGAAACCTCATAGCATAGCATGTTGTCCAAAATCATGAAAAAACGTCATAGTATAGCATGTCGTCAGAATTCATGAAAAAAAGTCATAGTATAGCATGTCATCAGAATTCATGAAAAAACGTCATAGCATAGTATGTTGTCAAAAATAATGAAAAAAAACGTCATAGTACAGTATGTTGTCAAAAATCATGAAAAAACATTATAGTATAGTATGTCGTCAAAAATCATGAAAAAAAGGTCATAGTATAGCATGTTGTCAAAAATCATAAAAAAAATGTCATAGTATACCATGTCATCAAGAATCATGAAAACGCTTCATAAAACTCCAAAAAAAGTCATAGTATAGTATGTCGTCAAATGTCATGAAAAAACGTCATAGTATAATGTCGTCAAAAATCATGAGAAAACGTCATAGTATAGCATGTTGTCCAAAATCATGCAAAAATGTCATTGTACACCATGTCGTCAAAAATCATGGAAAAACATCATAGTATAGCATGTCTTCCAAAATCATGAAAACGCTTCATAAAACTACAAAAAACATCATAGTAAAGCATGTTGTCAAAAATCATGATAAAAACTTCAAGGTATAGCATGTTGTCAAAAATCATGAAAAAAAATGTCATAGTATAGTATGTCGACAGAATTCNATGTCGTCAAATATCGTGAACAACATCATAGTATATAGTATGTTGTCAAAAATCATGAAAGAACATCATAGTATAGCATGTCGTCAAAAATTACCAAAAAACGTCATAGTATAGTATGTCGTCAGAATTCATGAAAAAACGTCATAGTATAGCATGTCGTCAAAAATCATGAAAAAATGTCAAAGTATAGCATGTCTTCCAAAATCATGCAAAAATGTCATAGTATACCATGTGGTCAAAAATCATGAAAATGCCTCATAAAACTACAAAAAAACGTCATAGTAAAGCATGTTATCAAAAATCATGAAAAAAAATGTCATAATATAGGATGTCGTCAAAAATCATAAAAAAAGGTCATAGTAAAGCATGTTATCAAAAATCATGAAAAAAAAATGTCATAGTATAGCGTGTCGTCAAAAATCATAAAAAAATGTCATAGTATAGCATGACGTCAAAAATCATGATAAAAACGTCAAGGTATAGCATGTCTTCCAAAATCATGCAAAAATGTCATAGTATACCATGTCGTCAAAAATCATGAAAACGCTTCATAAAACTACAAAAAAGTCATAGTAAAGCATGTTGTCAAAAATCATGAAAAAAATGTCATAATGTAGCATGTCGACAGAATTCATGCAAAAACGTCATAGTATAGCACGTTGTCCAAAATCATGAAAAAACGTCATAGTATAGCATGTCTTCCAAAATCATGCAAAAATGTCATAGTATACCATGTCATCAAAAATCATGATAACGCTTCATAAAACTACAAAAAAACATCATAGTAAAGCATGTTGTCAAAAATCATGAAAAAAAAGTCATAGTATAGCATGTTGTCAAAAATCATAGAAAACGTCATAGTATAGCATGTCGTCAAAAATCATAAAAAAAAGTCATAGTGTAGCATGTCGTCAAAAATCATGAAAAAAAATATAGTATAGCATGTCGTCAAAAATCATAAAAAAACGTCATAGCATGTCATCAAAAATCATGATAAAAACGTCAAGGTATAGCATGTTGTCAAAAATCATGAAAAAAAATGTCATAATATAGCATGTCGACAGAATTCATGAAAAAACGTCATAGTATAGCATGTCGTCAAAAATCATGGAAAAGCGTCATAGTATAGCATGTCTTCCAAAATCATGCAAAAATGTCATAGTATACCATGTCATCAAAAATCATGAAAAAATGTCATTGTATATTATGTCGTCAACAATCATGAAAAAAAACATCATAGTATAGCATGTTGTCAAAATTCCTGAAAAACGTCAAGGTATAGTATGTCGTCAAATATCATAAAAAAATGTCATTGTATAGTATGTCCTCAAATGTTATGAAAAAACATCATTGTATAGCATATCATCAGAAACTAAAAAGAAACGTCATAGTATAGTGCGTCGTCAAAAATCATGAAAGACACCTCATAGCATAGTACGTCGTATAAAATCACGAAAAACCTCATAGTATAGTTTGTCATCAAAAATCATGAAAAAACGTCATAGTATAGCATGTTGTCCAAAATCATGCAAAAACGTCATAGTTTAGCATGTTATCAAAATTCCTGAAAAAACGTCATATTATAGTATGTCATCAAATATCATGAACAACATCATAGTATATAGTATGTTGTCAAAAATCATGAAAGAACCTCATAGTATAGCATGTCGTCAGAATTCATGAAAAAACGTCATAGTACAGTATGTCGTCAAAAATCATGGAAAAACATCATAGTACAGTATGTCGTCAAAATTCATGAAAAAAACGTCAAAGTACAGTATGTTGTCAAAAATTATGAAAAAATGTCATAGTATAGTTTGTCGTCAAAAATCATGAAAAAACGTCATAGTATAGCATGTTGTCCAAAATCATGCAAAAACGTCATAGTTTAGCATGTTGTCAAAATTCCTGAAAAAACGTCATATTATAGTATGTCGTCAAATATCGTGAACAACATCATAGTATATAGTATGTTGTCAAAAATCATGAAAGAACATCATAGTATAGCATGTCGTCAAAAATTACCAAAAAACGTCATAGTATAGTATGTCGTCAGAATTCATGAAAAAACGTCATAGTATAGCATGTCGTCAAAAATCATGAAAAAATGTCAAAGTATAGCATGTCTTCCAAAATCATGCAAAAATGTCATAGTATACCATGTGGTCAAAAATCATGAAAATGCCTCATAAAACTACAAAAAAACGTCATAGTAAAGCATGTTATCAAAAATCATGAAAAAAAATGTCATAATATAGGATGTCGTCAAAAATCATAAAAAAAGGTCATAGTAAAGCATGTTATCAAAAATCATGAAAAAAAAATGTCATAGTATAGCGTGTCGTCAAAAATCATAAAAAAATGTCATAGTATAGCATGACGTCAAAAATCATGATAAAAACGTCAAGGTATAGCATGTCTTCCAAAATCATGCAAAAATGTCATAGTATACCATGTCGTCAAAAATCATGAAAACGCTTCATAAAACTACAAAAAAGTCATAGTAAAGCATGTTGTCAAAAATCATGAAAAAAATGTCATAATATAGCATGTCGACAGAATTCATGCAAAAACGTCATAGTATAGCACGTTGTCCAAAATCATGAAAAAACATCATAGTATAGCATGTCGTCAAAAATCATGAAAAAATGTCATAGTATAGTATGTCGTCAAAAATCATGAAAAAACCTCATAGTATAGCATGTCTTCCAAAATCATGCAAAAATGTCATAGTATAGCATGTCATCAAAAATCATGAAGAAATGTCATTGTATATTATGTCGTCAACAATCATGAAAAAAAACATAGTATAGCATGTTGTCAAAATTCCTGAAAAAACGTCATAGTATAGTATGTCGTCAAATATCATGAAAAAATGTCATTGTATAGCACATCATCAGAAACTAAAAATAAATGTCATAGTATAGTGTGTCGTCAGAAATCATGACAGAAACCTCATAGCATAGTACGTTGTATAAAATCACAAAAAAACCTCATAGTATAGTATGTCATCAAAAATAATATAAAAAACATCATAGCATAGTATGTCGTCAAAAATAATGAAAGAATGTCATAGTATAGCATGTTGTCCAAAATCATGAAAAAAACCTCATAGTATAGCATATCATCAGAATTCATGAAAAAACGTCATAGTATAGTATGTCGTGAAAAATCATGAAAAAACGTCATAGTGTAGTATGTCCTCACAAATCATGGAAAAACATCATAGTATAGTATGTCGTCAAAAATCATGAAAAAATCGTCATAGTATAGCATGTTGTCAAAAAATATACAAAAAATTTCATAGTATACCATGTTGTCAAGAATCATGAAAACGCTCCATGAAACTACAACAAAACGTCATAGTATAGTATGTCGTCAAAAATCATGAAAAAACGTCATAGTATAGCATGTTGTCCAAAATCATGCAAAAATGTCATAGTATACCATGTCATCAAAAATCATTAAAACGCTTTATTAAAATTACAAAAAAACATCATCGTAAAGCATGTTGCCAAAAATTATGAAAAAAAATGTCATAGCATAGCATGTCGTCAAAAATCCTAAAAAACGTCATAGTATAGGATGTCGTCAAAAATCATAAAAAAATGTCATAGTGTAGCATGTCGTCAAAAATCATGAAAAAAAATGTCATAGTATAGCATGTCGTCAAAAATCATAAAAAATGTCATAGTATAGGATGTTGTCAAAAATCATAAAAAAATGTCATAGTGTAGCATGTCGTCAAAAATCATGAAAAAAAATGTCATAGTATATCATGTTGTCCAAAATCATGAAAAAACGTCATAGTATAGTACATCGTCAACAATCATGGAAAAACGTCATAGTATAGTATGTTGTCAAAAATCATGAAAAAAACGTCATAGTACAGTATGTTGTCCAAAATCATAAAAAAAATGTCATAGTATACCATGTCTTCAAAAATCATGAAAACGCTTCATAAAACTACAAAAAACATCATAGTAAAGCATGTTGTCAAAAATCACGAAAACGCTTCATAAAACTACAAAAAAACATCATAGTAAAGCATGTTGCCAAAAATCATGAAAAAAAATGTCATAGTATAGCATGTCGTCAAAAATCATAAAAAACGTCATAGTATAGCATGTCGTCAAAAGTCATGAAAAAATGTCATAATATAGCATGTCTTCCGAAATCATGGAAAAATGTCATAGTATAGCATGTCATCAGAATTCATGAAAAAACGTCATAGTATAGTCTGTCGTCAAAAATCATGAAAAAAACGTCATAGTACAGTATGTTGTCAAAAATCATGGAAAAATGTCATAGGACAGTATGTCGTCAGATTTCATGAAAAAACGTCATAGTACAGTATGTCGTCAAAAATCATGGAAAAACGTCATAGTATAACATGTTGTCAGAATTCATGAAAAAACGTAGTATAGTACGTCATCAAAAATCATGAAAGAACATCATAGTATAGCATGTCATCAAGAATTACCAAAAAACGTCATAGTGTAGTAAGGATAGACCGATACATCGGCCGGCCGATATATCGGGCCGATATTTGAGTTTTTTACTTGTACCGGCATCGGCCGATACGCACGTGGGTTCGCGGATTTATTTTTCCCTGGCATGATTTACAGACAGGCATCCACGGGCAGCTCTGTGTTGCCAGAAGACCCTGCAGCACACATGCAGCAAATCCTACTGTGTACAGTAGTTGTTGTTTTATTTATGCTTCAGCTTAAATATTTGTTTTATAAAGACATTACTGGAAGATTTAAGAGCACTGAACTCTTTTTTTTATTTGAATATAATAATAATAATAATATTCTACCTGTTCTACCTCAACTTTCCATCTTGTTTTAGTATTTTTTACTGTTCAATAAATGGTTCTTATTTTAAACTTGAGACCTGTAATATTTGTTATCATTGTGTCACTTTTTTTGATGTAAATTGAGGGAGCAAAAGCAGTATCGGCCCCAAATATCGGCTCAAGAAAATCGGCAGTCCATAATCGGTCATCGGCTAAGGGTGATGGAAAAAAATCGGTATCAGCATCGGCCCTAAAAAATCCATATCGGTCTATCCCTATAGTGTAGCATGTTGTCCAAAATCATGGAAAAACGTCATAGTATAGCATGTCGTCAGAATTCATGAAAAAATGTCATAGTACAGCATGTCGTCAAAAATCATGAAAAAAAGTCATAGTATAACATGTTGTCAGAATTCATGAAAAAACGTCATAGTATAGTATGTCGTCAAAAATCATGGAAAAACGTCATAGTATAGTATGTCATCAGAATTCATGAAAAAACGTCATAGTATAGTCTGTCGTCAAAAATCATGAAAAAAACGTGATAGCACAGTATATTGTCAAAAATCATGGAAAAATGTCATAGTATAGTATGTCATTATGAATTACCAAAAAATGTCATAGTACAGCATGTCGTCAAAAATCATAAAAAAAGTCATAGTATAACATGTCAGAATTCATGAAAAAATGTCATAGTATAGTATGTCGTCAAAAATCGTGGAAAAACGTCGTAATATAGTATGTCATCAGAATTCATGAAAAAACGTCATAGTATAGTATGTCGTCAAAAATCATGAAAAAAACGTCATAGCACAGTATATTGTCAAAAATCATGGAAAAATGTCATAATATAGTATGTCATCATGAATTACCAAAAAACGTCATAGTATAGCATGTCGTCAGAATTCATGTATAGTATGTTCGTCAAAAATCATGAAAAAAACATCATAGTACAGCATGTCGTGAAAAATCATAAAAAAAAGTCATAGTATAACATACTGTTAGAATTCATGAAAAACGTCATAGTATAGCATGTCGTCAAAAATCATGGAAAAACGTCATAGTATAGTGTGTCGTCAAAAATCATGAAAAAAACCTCATAGTATAGTATGTCGTATAAAATCACGAAAAAACCTCATAGTATAGTATGTCATCAAAAATCATGAAAAAAAGTCATAGTTTACGATGTCGTCAAAAATAATGAAAGAACGTCATAGTGTAGCATGTTGTCCAAAATCATGAAAAAACCTCATAGTATAGTATGTCGTCAAAAATCATGGAAAAACGTCATAGTATAGTATGTCGTCAAAAATCATGAAAAAACGTCATAGTATAGCATGTCGTCAAAAATTACCAAAAAACGTCATCGTATAGCATATCATCAGAAACTAAAAAGAAACGTCATAGTATAGTGTCGTCAAAAATCATGAAACATTGTGAAAACATTTCATAGCATAGTATGTCATAAAAATGTCATACTATAGTAGTCCATCAAAATGTGAAAAAATATCATAGTGTCGTATTTCACAAAAATATCAGAGTATAGTATGCCATAAAAATGACAAAAAAATGTCATAGCATAGTTTGCCATAAAATTGTGAAAAAATGTCATAGTATAACATTGCACAAAATTCACCATTCATGGCAATATGGCAGTATATAGTATGGTATAAAAAATATCATTGTACAGTATGGCATTAAAGTGACACAGTATAGTATTCCATAAAAAAAAAATCATAATATAATATCCCTCAAAATGTTTGGATCTTGCATGCCACTGATAATGCTATAGAAATTGATGTAAATACTGAAATGGAAAGCTGATGTCTTGTTAATGTTTACACATGTACTATATGTAGACGGTCCTAATTTCCTTAATATTTCCTTGTGGAATCTTTTCATTAGATTAAATTACATACATTAGATATTAATGTGTGGAACCTTTCATATAGTCCATTTGTAAATCTTAATAGCTTTTGGGGACATTTAGAAAACCCTAACTACATGGTGCCCCTCTCTGCAGGTGAAGGGGAAAGCTGTGTTTGTCACAGGTTGTGACAGTGGATTTGGTCATGAACTTGCTAAACATCTTCACAAGCTTGGCTTCACGGTCTTTGCTGGATGTCTTCTTAAGGTACGGAGAAAACATACAGCAGAAAACATACAAGGGCAAGCAACAACAATTCTCTGAGGTTGAAAAACAAATAAAGTGACTGTCATTTGTTTGCATTTTAAATATGTTTTCCAAAGCTTTCAATGGGTACGTTTCATCTGAGTTGGTATAACTGAGGTGACATGTCATCGTTGCAGGATAAAGGTGGAGAGGGTGCAAAGGAACTGGAAGAATTTCACTCAGATCGTATGAAGGTGGTCCAGCTGGATGTCTGCAGTGAAGAGCAGGTGAACCAAGCTGCAGAGTATATCAAAGACAACCTGGAGGACTCAGAAAGAGGTACTGCAAATATCTCATGTATTCATTAACTTAGCTAACAGAATATTAGTGTCTGTGTTCATCCACAGACTTCTTTTTAACCTCTGACAATCTGTCACTGGTCTTGATCCAGGTCTGTGGGCCGTGGTGAACAACGCCGGTGTGTCAACGTTTGGAGAAGTGGAGTTTGCCTCCATGGACACCTACAAGCAGGTGTCAGAGGTCAACCTGTGGGGCACCATCAGGGTCACCAAAGCTGTTCTGCCGTTGATCCGCAGGGCCAAAGGTTAGCAGCTGGAATATAACACTGTATTATCACTTAGTGATATATAAACATGATGGAGTTAAACAGTGTCCAAAATGGCACCAAACTGCACCGGGGATTTTACTTACTCAACTTTGTTACCAGACTTGAGGATCATAAGCCAACCAGTAAGTTGTGTCACATGATTTCAATGAGGAATGCTGACTATTTCAACAAGCCTGAAACTGAAAAACAAATTTAAAGCCTTTCTTTATCACAAAAATGTTAATGACTTAATTTATATGTATTGAAGTACGTATGTTTTAAAGGTCCAGTGTGTAGGATTTTGGGGGATTTATTGGCAAAGATGCTGTCTTTACCAAAGTTTATCAGCAACTGACAGCTCAGCATAGGTTAATGAGTGACTCATCAAGCAACATGAAACACAGCTCCAGGCCTTGTGTTAATAATATCTTTGGACAGTTGAACTTTGGATCTGGATCCATAACAGACTTTGAGTTTGGAGCTGGACCAAAGACACTTAATTTCCTTTTACATCATTTTATTACCAGCGGTGCTGCATTCAATTGTCGTTGTATCCATTTATTCTAATTCAGCACTCGTTTCGAAGAGACATATCTGCAGAAAGCCTGACTAAATCTCTGTTACGTTTATCTCTGCAGGCCGTGTTGTGAACCTGGCCAGCATGTACGGGAGGATGGGAAATGCCTTGCGTTCACCTTACTGCGTATCTAAATACGGCGTGGAAGCCTTTTCTGATTGCCTTCGCTATGAAATGAAGACCTGGGGAGTCAAAGTGTCCATAATCGAACCGGGGAACTTCATCGTGGCCACTGGCATCATGACCCGAGACATTGTAGCCAGCACGGCCAATAAGCTGTGGAACGAGGCGCCGTCGCATGTGAAGGAGGATTATGGGAGAGCCCACTTTGAGCACCACATGGCTTTGATGCGCTCTTACTGCAGCAGCGGACAGAGGGATATTTCCCCTGTTCTGGATGACATTACTGATGCCATCATGTCCAAGCGCCCCTACACACGATACAACCCCATGGAGCCATACTGGTGGATCAGAATTCAGATTATGACCTATCTGCCTGCCGCAATAGGCGACTTCTTCTACTACTAAAAGAGGAGCTGTTCCTGTAGGAGTTTCCTGTGATTCATATAAAAGCATCTTATTCAACTCTGTAGCGCTACGCAGATCAGTAGACTTACCCTGAACAGGGCTCTCTGCTACGTGTTCCTCAGCACTTTAAACCATTCACTGATCATGCCTTAAAACTTAATGGTTTTTTAAACTGTAAAGAAATTATTGCACTTTGCTTTTTGTATGTTGTACAAGACCCATAACTTTATCTATACAGGTAAATTCCATGATAAGTAGTAACTACTTTGTGTTGAGTATCAGCAGGGCTATGACATACTCGTAGCTATATATACTGCATCGTTATTGCTTGCTGTGGTATTATCTTAAAGGGACAGCTCAGCCCAAAATCAAAAATACATATGTTTCCACTTAAATGTAGTGCTATTTATCCGTCTAGATTGTTTTGGTGTGAGTTGCCAAGTGTTGGAGATACCGGCCGTATGTCTGCCGTCTCTGGAAAATAATGGAACTAGATGGCACTCGGCTTGTGGTGCTCAAAGCGCCAGAAAATACATTTAAAAACTCAGCTGTAATGTCTCTTTCCAGAAATAATGACCCGGTTACCACAATGCAAATAGCTAATCAGCAACTCAGTGTATTTACCCATATAGACATGGTTGACGACCTGCTGAAGTTCAAACTGAGCATCAGAATGAGGAAGAAAGGTGATTTAAGTGACTTTGAATGTGCTGTGGTTGTTGGTGCCAGACGGGCTGGTCTGAGTATTTCACAAACTGCTGATCGACTGGGATTTTCACACACAACCATCTCTAGGGTTTACAGAGGATGGTCCGAAAAGAGGTCAGAGGAGAATGGCCAGACTGGTTCAAGATGATAGAAGGGCAACAGTAACTCAAATAACCATTTGTCACAATCAAGGCAGAAGACCATCTCTGAACCAACAACACGTCCAACCTTGAAGCAGATGGGCTACAGCAGCAGAAGACCACACCAGGTGCCACTCCTGTCAGCTGACAACAGGAAACTGAGGCTACAGTTCACACAGGCTCAGAAAAATGGACAATTGAAGATTGGAAAAATGTTGCTTGGTCTGATAAGTCTGGATTTCTTGGCACACTTTGGGCCCCTTAGTACCAACTGAGCATGGTTTAAACACCACAGCCTACCTGAGTATTGTTGCTGAGCATGTCCATCCCTTTATGACCACAGTGTACCCATCTTCTGATGGCTACTTCCAGCAGGATAACGCACCATGTCACAAAGCTCCAGTACCTTGTTGAATCTATGCCACCAAGAATTAAGGAAGTTGTGATGGCAAAAGGGGTCCAACCTGGTACTAGCAAGGTGTACCTAATAAAGTGGCCAGTGAGTGTATTTTCTATCTACCAAACTACACCTGCCAGCTGTATCACTGCACAGAAGGAAGCATGCATCTGCTGCTAGCTCACCTAGCACCAAGGAGCTAGCTAATGTTAGAGCTTAGCCATGGAGGAAGCCATTAATTTTTACATCTTGCGCTGTTACAGGCATAAGCCTCTCATCCATGAGTAGATGCACTTTTCCTTCTGTGTGGTGATACAGTTGGCAGGTGTAGTTTGGTAGAAAGAAAAGAATTCCTACAGAACAAGACAAACTGCTCACAACAAGCTCTGTGGGTTATCTAGAGTAACCAGGTCATGGCTTCTGGAAAGAGACATTGCTGGTGAGTTTTTCAAGCCGAGTGTCTAGTTACATTATATTCGAGAGAAGTCAGACATCCATATCGTCGATATCTCCAACACTCAGCAACTCACACCAAAACTATCTAGACTGATAAACAGCACTACAAGTAAGAGAGGAAAATGGAGTTTTGATTTTGGGTTGAACTGCCCCTTTAGAAAAAAGAAAAAGATTGTTTTCCTCTTCTATCTTTTACTTGTAACGTTTTGCCTTATGGGAATCTTCTGGGCCCCCACTGGCATGAGGACCAAAGCCGTTAGAGCTCAAGAGAAGGCCCCCGCTGTTCTGTTGTGGCGACGCCGAAACAAACCAAGGTCAGCTACTGTAAGGCCGTGTTGAGATTTGGCTCGACTCAGCCCAAAGTTACGTAACAGCAACACAAGCCCACTTTGTCTCACATGCGGCCCGAGCTTCTGCGTGCTACTTTTGACAGTGAGGTTGATTGATGTGATTAATGGGCATACTGGAATTAAAAAAAAAAGCTTCTCCCCACCTCCCCTCTCCCTCCTGAATGGAAAAGTATCTGAATATCGAATGATGTGAATGAAAAGAGCATTTTTATTTTGACAATATTACAATCACAGTATCATTTTTCAAGAGTGATTTGAAATAAAGTGACCAAAATGTGATGGTGTTTTTGTATTTGAGTTTGGCCTGGGTTGTTTCAGTAACATGTAATGATACAAATGGCCACTGGGTGGCGTACATGCATCATACAAAACTGCCACAGCTCTCCTCATGCATGAATCATCTGCTGTCTATCAGATATTGTTAATGTCCCAATTTAGGCTGCATTATTATCACATTATAGCAAAGCTGGAGTACAGAGAAGAAATAATTACCCAGTTTTCATATAGTTAGGACTTGTACACAAACACAAGGCCTAGTCTATGAAACATTTTGTCATTGCTGTTTTTATAATCAGTACAAAAACAGCTTCCAAATGAAAATGAAAGTACCAACATTTGACAGTTCAGCCTGACAGCAATGAAACACTGCTGCAGATAAAAACAAGACATCATCATATCATTTTTATGCCGTTTATTACGTCTTTTGAACACTCTAATAAACTCTTCTAAATTATTACACCTGAAGACGATCTCCCCTCCATAAAAACAGTATTAAGAGCATGACATTAAATTTCACAGCACTGCCTTTATCATTCCACAGCATGGATCTGTTTTCTTCACTCTCTCTCATACAGAAAAAAAAAAAAAAGCTTTGTGAGACAAAGAACACCAAGAAGCAGCACAAAAGCACCAAAGTTTGAACACGGGTCATTTGTTCTGGAGTATTATCAAGAAATTAAAAGTGGAGATTCACGATTATCTCAGGCTTGTTTAGCAGTCCAGAGCTGCCTGGCTGCGCTTGTAGTTCTCTGTCGTGAAAAACAGTTTGATAAACAATCTCTTGATAATATCCGTCACAAGTGACTTGAGTGTAAGCAGATTTTAAAACCATGTCTGTACAGCTACAAGGCTCTGCTCATGCAGCCTCTGTTGGTGTAAAATGAAAAGAGATCCCAGTTTATAACAATATCTATGCAGGGAGATACTGTAGGTCTGTATTTGAATATCAAGTAAAACATTTAAGTATTGAGGATTTCTTTTTTCTTACATATTTAAGTGGCTAAACTGCAAAAGTGAATGTCTTACACTAGTCTTATATGAAATACATACAGACATAAAAAACTATTTCCTCAGAAACCATGACAGTTTCTTCACAACCGACGATACGTGATGCCGTTAACTTGAGGTGCTCATACATGAGATTCAGGTCATGATTACATCACACCTGGGGGGGGGGAGGGGTTATGTTTCTGAATGAACATCAGCACATTATTTTATACTGTACACGTTAGGCATTCACTTTTCACTTAAGGAGTTATACTTGATGAAATCAGCAAAGGTAAGGTCACTTGAAACTACACACAACATCACCTAATGGGCATTTTATGCGTGATTTGAAACAAACAAAAAAAAGTTACTGACATTTTCAGCCAACAGCTACATGAGGAAATACCCTTCTCTGTAAGGATGACACCCCCATCACTAATCAGACTGACGCACGTGCAAAGCTCTAACCAAATAGCACGCAGTGGTGACAAGAGAAGTGGGAAGAAGAAGAAGACAAAAATAAAAAAAAAGGGACGCTAAACCTTTGGTTGACAGAAAGCTGTGAAGGCACATTTAAAATCTCCTTCTAAATCCTTCAAACTGGGGCACGTTGCGTTGGCGTTTGTCACTTTAATGCTGCGTAATATTGCAGATGCTGTAGAACTGGAAGTCGGGGAGGAAATTTCACACACAACAACGAAAAAAAATGGGGTTGTCGATAGCAGTCGGTTATTACTGTAGGGCAGGCAAACACTCGCTCACATAAAGTGTCAGAGGAAATGGCACCAATACAACACCAGGGACTGGGTGTAATAAATGACATGCAACAGGATTCCTGTAACCCAAATACTTATCTGGTGACGATAACACAGAAACCAAAGAGGGGATCACTGGAAATGGCAGGAAGACAGGCATAAATGTCCTTTTTTAAAAAGATTTGGGACCCAAAAGAAACAAAACTCACTTAATCCATTTTGCATTAAGCATGTTAGATGTTTTTGAGCCCTGACAGGAGCTTTTTAATCCTGGAATGTATTTTTTGTACTGTTTAATAAGCTGTAATATCACTTAAATTAGCCAATGACTGGTACTGTAGGTGCATAATTAGAACTTGCCGTTTTGAACCCGTGATGAATCAAACTGAGACGCAGCATTGTTTATAATCCATCTTCTATAACAGTCACAGCTCTTGTATGAACAGCTCTGTCAATCACCTGGGGAACTGAGAGGAAAAAAAACACACCCATGTTTTGTGTTCATTGTGGCATGACTGACTTTTCATGCTTGGATTAATTAGACTTTAAAAAGCCCTCCCATCCAAAAATCCTTTATTCTCCACTATGATACATCAGCGTTGGCCTCCATTCATTTCCCCGCCCGTATAAGGGCTGGGAGCGGTAATCCAGATACTCGATTCCGTGGAACACATTCTCCAAGTCTCCTCCCTAGATCCTACTTCGCTGCTTTTGTTTTTTAAGGGTCCATTTTTCCATTCCTCCTCTATGAAATCCCTCTTCCTCCTCCTCCTCCTCCTCCTCCTCCTCCCCTCTCCTTCCCTCTCTCGCGCTCTCTTTCCCTCCCCTGCGCTCGGGTCCAACTGGCCACAGCTGGAGAACTCATCATCGCGAGCATCGTGATCATCATCAGCTCTCTGAGCCCACTCCGCCTGAAGCAGCTCCCTGCCAGCGCTGCTCGCAGCTCTGATTGCAGGCGCTGGTGCGAGCTGCCCCTTCAACATTCAAAACACTACTTGGTCCATTTTTACAAATACCCACTCACTGTAAATATAAACCATGTGTTCTGCCGAAAAACATTTAGATGCACTGCACTCTAACTTGACATTGACCATACATTTAGAAAAACAAGCTGGATTCCCCAAACTGGGAGACTTCTTAAGACATATCGGCCGTGGAAATACATGCCCAGGTATCATAGAAAACATCAAGCATTTACACCAGTTTGTACTCAGCAGTGAGGAAATGCTTTCTGTGCCTCCTAAAGGAAAAGGGCGTCTCCTAGCTTGATGTATATGTGCTGCAACACGACCCCTGTGTGACCCCTTAACTCCTCCATTCCCTCCAGTGATCACTAACTCAGGAGCAGTGACATCATCCTCTGGACTGCCTGGACTGATCCTCCATTTCCCCTTCCAACTCCACAGAGCTGGCGGGTGTTTGGAAGCCGCATTGCTGTCAACACACACCCATCCCACTGCTCTCATCCTCCTCGCCTCCAGAGAACCGTCCCCTTGAGCAACACTGGGAGGACACATCAGCTGTCAGGGATCTGCTCTGCACTAAGAAAGCCTCCAGACTGCGAAGGAAAGTACTTTCTGACTCTTCACATGACCTCCACACACACGGATAAACTCCCCCATCGCTCACGCCGGCTGCCAATCACTCTTTCAGGAGATAAAAAAGTGACGGTGTGAGGACGCGTTTCTGTTTGCATGCACACATGCAAAGTCACACCGTCTGTGATGCCTCGGCTTTGTAACATTCACATGATATGGATACAGCAATATGTGAGACAAGCAGTTTTGTTGTACAAAAAGAAAGTTGAACAACTAGTTTGACAAGAAGAGGAATCCTCCAAATCCTCCCACCGCAGATGAGTGCGGCACTCCGATCTCTACCACTATGATCCTAACAGAATTGTATCAATAAATATATTTTGGTCACTTAAATGTTTATTCATGATTAGCAGTTAGCAGAAGTTGTGGATTAGTGTGTCCACAATCAGAACGAACCAATTAAGACAGACGACACAGAAACGAGTTGAAACGTGGACCTCTGTAGGCTAGTTTGCTAACATCTGACAATGCCTCATACGGGTGGTTGCTGTGTTGGATACAGTTAAAAATAATCACATTTTTTAAAAAGAAACTGTTAAAAAGATTATATATTATCAACAAAAACAAAAAAAGGAAACTAAATGCAGCTCTAATAGATATCAAGGTGGAAATACATGGCATTGCCTATGACCTAACACATCTGGATAATTTAAAATAGGCGACCAAGAGGTCTGTAGTCAACTCTCAGGAGTCCATAGTCTCTTTGTCTCCCCCTCCCATTCCTCCGTGTCTCTCCCATGCTTTTTCCATACCTCCTCTTGGAATGCTCACAAATCGGGCATTTAAGTCCTGATGATGTGTTAAGTCCTCAGGCTTGGAGTTTAAATGTTAGTGTGTGTTCTGGCGTAAGTATCTGTATGTATATATATGGATGCAGTTAATGTATAGGTGTGGTGTCTGTGTGGAAGTGCGTGTGTGTGTGTGACAGAGAGGGATCAGGAGGCGGCCAGGGCCTTGATCAGGTACAGTTTGTCTCCCTGCTCACTGGTGAAGATGGGGGCCTTTTTGTAGTGTTCAACAAGCTCTTCCATAGAGTTGAACTTGCGCTGTCCAATGCAGTAAAGGTTTTCCTTCAGCTGCACTTTGAAATGCTTGTTCTTGCTCTGCGCCTTCAGGGAGATAGAGAAGTCGTTTGGCTGTGAAAAGAAAAGGAAATGCAGAGTTACACTATCGGTGTCGAGACAGTGGTATGAATAAGGGCGCCTTTAAAAGTGTCACTGACAGTCATCAACTTTCATCTCAGCCCAAATCATACATTGCAAATGGTTGGTAATGCTGTTAACCATGTACAACACATCAATAGTTCGGTTTCTAATCAAATGAAGCACCAATTTTTTACAGAATTTTTAGAACACCTGCAATTGAAAATGTACACGTATGTGACCCTTGTGCAAATATTGGGAGTTGGTCCTTCGAGATAAGCAGTAGGTGGCGCTAGTTCTCCAGTCAGGTGTCATTATACCACTGCAGAAGAAGAGGGCCCAAGACAAGGAGGCTAATCAGGCTAGACCCTACATGAACCTGCAGTGTCTGTCCAAGCCTGACCTGAGTTCGAACCACGGCAGCAGTTTTGGGCCTGAGCTTGATTAAAAACCCAAATTTCTACTGTAAAAAATATATTGAGTGCACAACAACGGTTCATAGCAATGCCGCGCATAGATGGTGACCTTACTGAACTATTGTTTTGTCTGTGAACCTTGACAGTTACTACTGAGCTGAATTTGATACCTTTGTTAAATGACCTTGTTGTTCATTCATGTTTTATGGCTGTTTTGTGAAGTTTGCCTTCAGAACTTTGAGCAAGACAGACCTGAAGTTTTAGGAAAAAGATCATTGTTTGGGTTCATATGAAAAGCTCTCTGACAGAAAGCCCTGGAGAGAGCTTAAAGTGGCCTCTGCATTGACAGTAAATCATGACTCTATGTCATCATTTAAAGGTGCTGTATGTGGGATTTAGGGGGATATATTGGTAGAAATGGAATATTATATTCATAACTATGTTTTTATTAGTTTATATTCAGCTGAAAATAAAAATCGCTGTTATTACATTAAAATGGGCCAGGTTTTTTTATCTACATATGGAGCGGGTCCTCTTTTACGGACAGGGTTGGAAATGAACTTTTTTGTCCACCTGCCACTGTGGATGGTGAGTTCCAAAATCAATCATTTTTGGCTGGTTGCTGATGCTAATTTCAAACCCTGTTCACAGAGTCGGCCATGTTGTTTCTACAGTAGCCCAGAACAGACAAACCAAACACTGGCTCTAGATAGGGCAATTTGTGTTTTCGCATCTGCCTCCATAGTTCTTGGCACATGGAAGAAGTTTCAGCTGTTTGCAATCTACAAACCTCACCACTAGATGCCACTAAATCTCACATAACAGACCTTTAATCGTTGAATCTGTTTCCATCGCACTTAGTTGCAAGTTTCAAACCTATTTTGCCTCATACAGCAAGATTTTTTTTGTGTTTCTACTCCTACATGAATTGAAAATGCAGATATAAACAGGTCTACTGATGGTTTGTTAAACAGATGTAAGCTACTGACCGATGACTCGCTGTCTCGAATGAGGAAGTCCCCCTCTATGCCTCTCTGGTTGAGGGCCACCTCCGCCTGGTGGCGCGTCACCTTTCCGTAGTACCACTCCTTCCCCGCGAAGCGCCCGCTGCCTGAGGGCGAGATGTAGTCACAGTCAGGTGTGGGTGGCCCGGCAGGCCCTGCTGCGGGTTTATGGGAGGTGGAGTCCAGCACGGTGACGTAGTTTTTAGGCACCAAGCCCAGCTGTCCGTCCACTTTGCGACACTTCCACCACTCTGGGTCGTTCTCGGGCTTTTCCACCACCTCCATCACCTCGCCCTTCTCAAAGTTCAGCTCCTCGTCGTTGCCGGAGCTGAAAGGGTAGAGCGCCTGAACAGTGTGTAGCACTCTGTTCCCGTTCGTGGTGCTGTTCATTACAGCCGCCAGCTTCTCCGTTAGCGATCCGGCCGAATCTCCGACTCCGCCCATGCCCCCTCCCCCCGCCGTCAGATCCACGTCCTCTGTCACATAGTTGGACGGAAACCAGCCAGACCGTCCATTGTAGCTGCCACGCCACCAGCCATCGCTGCACTTCTCCATCACCACCACCCGCGTGCCTTTCACCAGAGACAGCTCGTCCTCGCGCTCTGGTGTGTAGCTGAACTTGACCAGGGCGGGCAGGTTAAGGTCGTACAGGCGCTCGCCATTATCTGCATACATGTCTGTGTCTGCGTTGGAGGCTGTGTCTCTCATCCCCCCCTTTCTGCTCTTCACCTTCCCAATTCCTAAAGAAAATAATCAAGCAGAAGTGTAAGATTTTACAGAGAAAAAAATCATCATCATCATCATCATCATCATCATCATCATCTACACCACAGCCCAGTGAGTAAGGTTAGAGACTTAATTAGAAGGCACACAGGCCTTTAGGTCTTTTTGCGTAAATTAAAACTTAAAAGTCACCATTTTACTAAAAAGCAAGTCTCTGGAATTCACATTTTAACACCCTTCCACTGATGTGGAACAAGTCTCAACAGAAAAACAAAAACCACATACACACCATTCAGAAACACCTCTGAAAATTTAAGGGAGGAGTAAAAAATCCCAGACAAATACCAGGCAGCGATAATAAGCATTAGGGGCTGTGCTGAAATACAGGGAGGGTGGGTAAGTAGGGTTAAAATCATTGCTTTTCTGCATTTACAGTGGCCTAACCCCCCACACTCCAAATCCAGATACATTCTTGGGGATTAGGCCTGGGTGCTGAGGAAACAAAAACGCAACGCTGGTGTGGTTGAAAGAAAAAAAAAAAAGAGTGGGATGAAAACTTGTTTTGGCATTGGGGCTATAAATCCTGTGGAAACTAAAATATGTACACTGGTTTATCAAAGTGCTGCTACCTAACATTGAAAAGAACCACAATTAGCCTTGAACTCTGTAGGCAGAAAGGCTCAGTCACATTTCATTGTTGCTAATCACATTGCGCTAATCACCTCAGCTGCCCTGACACCTGTGGCCTTGCTTGCACAGCAGCTGGAAACTCTGTCCCACTTCTGCCAGCACTCTGGCTTCTGGCTCTCCTTCCTCCCTCTCTGTCCTCAAAAACTCTCCACCCCACCATAATGCTCCAAGCACCCCACTGAGCTGGCCGTTTGACTTCAGCGTAGATGATTAAAAGGGCATATTTATCAAGACTTTATCAACTGTGGTTTAGCAGAGAGCGAGCTTTTCCTTTCGGTTTGCAGACTAAATGTCAGCCAGTCACACGGGGGAATGAACACAGGGTGAATTTCATCATACATGAAGTCGACCTCTTGGCATCTCTAAACAGCCCCGAGGCTAACAGAAGGGGGATTACCAGGCCCTTTAGCCTTTTCCTGGGTTATAGCGCCCGGAGGCCGAACTTTGGCAGGCCTGTGGTCATCGTCTTACTGGACAAGAATTTCCACTTGGCAGCCTGGCATGCTGTATGAAACACATGTGTAGCTAGCAGTGGACACAGTGGCGAGATCACACCTTCTTCCAACTTTCCAAGACACCAGAAAGCAACTCTCACACTCACAGCTCGATCGGTCTATACGTTACTTGTGTAAACAACAGTCCTCCATTTTGCTAGTTCCTTGCAAAGCTAATACAACACCACTGTTATTATCACAAATCTAACTGATGATGTAGGCAAACCCGACCAAAGCTGAGACACTTTGATACCAGACGCAGTGAGCAAACCAAAGTAGTGACTCTATTTCTGATTACGTTTGCAAAGCTATTGCTTGCATAATCAAAAGTCAGCTGGGTGAAATTATACAGGAAGGCAGGGTGTAGTCTCAAGGATCATGCTGGGAGGATGGTGAGTGTGTGTGTGTGTGTGTGTGTGTGTGTGTGTGTTTGTTTTCTGAGCGGGAACGTGACTAATTTGTCACAACGCCATACTGAATCTGCTTTACCACAGATAAATTGTTACTGAAAAGTGTCTGTGACTCAAGCAGTGCAGACAAATTTCATGGTAGCGCTGAGAGTCCAACGTCAAATTGCTTCCAGGTAGACCCTGTTATTAGTCACACCACTGTAGGTAACTACAGACTCCAGACAGGGTGTTAAAAGCTGATGTCTATACGTGGAGGTTGGGTCTACTTGTGCCTCGGTGCAGTCTTAATAACTCACAGGGTGACTGGCAAAAACAAAACATCTATAAAGAAATATTTTACATGTAGATTAAATTAGAAAAGGCCATGCCACCTGGGTTTGGAGTTTACACACACAACACAAACAGCTGACTCCTCTTCAGTGTAATAATGATACAAAAATGACAGCTAGAGGAAGAAGAACATGTTCGTGCAGGTGCAAGCCCCAGGATGTGTTCTGTGCACAGTTGGAAATGACCTAGTTAACTCCAAAAGAAGGTTAGGGGTCAACCCTGCATAAATAAAGTATCTTTTAGCTCTAGCTGAGAACTGAGCCAACCGAGAGCTTACATTTTATCTCTCTGGCCAGGTAACACAACCGTTATCAGTGTCCCTGACAGAGATTTTATTTGCTACTTCCTGCTATGGTCACACGAACACTTTGCATTAAAAAAGCACAGAGCTCAAGACCATTGCATTTGACTAGATCGTCAATCTAAGCCAACACAATAAAGGGAAGCTAGGATTTGCCTGTACGGCTATAGGTAGATGATACTGAGAGATAAAGGGGTTATTGAGGGCATCTGCTGCTCTAAGGGGCCATCTGTCATGCTGCTGTAGGTTAACTGCTAAGAATTCACTTATGTGGCAACTAAGAACAACCGTGATTTTGTGCTTCCTCTTACAATTTAGCGGAGACTCTTGTCTTACGAGGCTTTTACAGCACACACAGCGTGGTACTGCTTAATGCAAGGCCGCTGTGCTTAATGTCAGACACTGCTGCATTCTGCTCAACTGGTGGAAAATGATTTTGGTGGCCACTTCCTTGAGATCCTGCCACATTCTTTAGGCAGTTTATGAGTTCAATGAAGCTCAAGTTAGGGGACAATCTTTGGACCTTTGAGTGTGCTGACCTCTGCAAGGCATGTCAAGTGTGCATTCTGGTGTTGAAAAGAGGCTGAATGTTTGTGGGGAAACACACTGGACTGCAAACAAGAAGGGAGGAGGAGTTATCTGGTGTATGGGGTGCGAAGTACACAGAGTAATTAGCATAAAAATACAAAACAGAAGACTTGTTTGGGGACAGAAAATGTGATAGATTCTAGCGTACATAATTTTGGTGTATGTGCTCTAGGCTACCCAAAACCCTGCATATGGTGATAAAAGTGACACAGCTGCAATGACTGGGCAGTCTTGAGGTCAAACAATCGAGACAGGACTCATAGTTGTTATGACGGACGCATCACTGGTTGTTATTAGGGCCGAAACTGGGAATCTTTAATTATGGGACGGTCCATCTTACCAGCAGGCCACAGTACCGTCCAGACCTGCCACCTTTACCACGACACAACCACATGAGGATGAGATGAAGAGAATTAAACAGTAAATAACTAACAGAATATGACAATTATGTGCCCAAATATTGTATCATGTAAAGTAGGGATGGGCTTGAGTACTCAAAAATACGATTTGGACATCAGTAATCATGTTTTTCACCTTGAAAAAAAAGACATTTTTCTGTTGGGGTGCAGTGATGTAACTGCTATCCTCCTGTGTCACAGATATAACGTTCAACATTTTCTGTCATCATCACTTGATCTAATGTTGTAGGCAGATTTTCGACAAGGCAGAAGAGTGATGTTTGGAAGTATTTCAACACAATCATTTTAATGAATGTGCAGTCCAAGCTATGTCACGTTAAACTTGATCTGTCAAGGGCAGAAAGGTTGGCTAACTCTAACCCCTTCCCACATTTGTGTTTATTTCTGACTAGGGATGCACCAATCCGATATCTGGATCGATTATCTTAGGAAAGAACTGTGTAGTCATCAATGCCTGATGCCTCTAGTCTTTTCTGTTCTACATGTAAAGGTATATATCTTTTTAGGTCAACCATGGTACCGGATCGGTATCGGGTATCGACTGATACTCAAAGCCACAGCATCAGGATTGGTATCAAAACTGAAAAAGCTGGATCGGTGTATCTCTATTTCTGACCACATTCTCATGTTCGATTTTTTGTGAGTACTTGAGTACTCTACCCAGCACCCACATAGGATTTAAAGCCTGCGACTCCCCACTGGTCGGTTACAACTAAAGCAGCCTCTTGGATGAGGGATGAAATGTCGTCAAGAAACTCAAGCAAGTCCCGTTACCTAGGATATAGCACTCAGGAATTACCATGACCTGGTAACCAACACGCACTCTAAAATAATTTAATGTGAGTACTACTTAAAATGCTCATGCCTACTGTCAAGGGTTCTACACACAAAAAACAAGCAAGCAAACAATAAACCACAAACATAAACAACCCCCACACCTGACTGCTGCCCCAACTCATTAGCTGTGGGAAACACAGGCCTCCTGTCAGTGCCTCAACCTCATCTCATCATCGAAAGTAACCCCCAAATACTGCTGCCTGCATGAGCTTTGCATGTACATTTGCAAATGTGGCAGCTAAACGCTTCCCCCGAAACCCACAAACCATGCCACTACCTTACTGCTACCTGAGAAAGGTCTTCCAGAAAGAAGAGAAAATAAAAAGCACTGTGCACTGGAAACTTTTCTGTTTTGACGTCAGATGCTTTTTCCTGTGCATTTCCTGAGAGAGGGATGCGGAGGAAGGAAATCACATTGCGTCAGATGGCAGCAAATCATGGCGAACAATGACAAAGACCTTAACACGCATAGGTAAAACCTCTCCGAAAAAACTTCACTTTTTGTTGGCCGATGAGGTGCCCCAGCAGGAGGAGAAGAAAGTGCTGGGGAGTTTGTTTGGCTACCAGTGACAGACAGGAACTAGTTTTGTTTTTTAACTCTGGCCTCCCTTCGCTGGCTGGCTGTCCATTGTCTGCCAGGGCCCTTTCGACCCCTTCGCTTCCCTCCATTCCAGGGCTCTTCCTCTGTGGACGACAACACCCCGCGTCAGGCTGTCTGACAGTGCCCGAACATCCCTGCACTTGAACACAACATGATCACTGGGACCAGTTTGGCTGCAGTGAAACGACTCAATAAAGAAATATTTTAGAGCCAAACGTGTTAGAAACTGGCTGATAATCAGAGAGGTACACCACAGACCAGTCCCTATCACATCCTAATATCTATCCTCCATGTGTCCAAGGTGATTTAACCTCTGACAACAATGTGTCACTCGCATTCACCAGACA